GAGGTGAATATGCTCGCCTTGCTTGTCGCAGCTTGAGATCTTCAATAAATAGCGTAAAAGTGAGCTCATTCGGCAGTGAAACGTGTGGAATGTGAAATTGTGCAGCGTTGCGTTGGATTTCACGCAATGACTGAATGGTGAAAGCTGCGTGGAAATGACTATTTATATATTTGGTAATTATTTGCTGGCGCAAGCAAACACAGTTTTGTTAGGAATATATTCTGCACAATGCATAACTGCTGGAAGGACGCAGAAAATGCTCCGCTGATCTCAGCTAATGTCAACTGCAGCTGTCGTCTATTTGCCGTGTGGAGAAGTGTGCAGAAAAGCTAGAAATAGGATGGCATTGTGCAGACATACGTGGCGTCGATGAAATACGGCAGGAGGGAACAAAGTGACGCTTTTCTTTTTCAACCCTCAAAATGCAATCGATTTTCTCTTTGGATATAAAGAGTGTGCAGCAAATGTTTGCAGGAACGGAGTGGCGTGGAGGGAAACTTTGGTGGAAGAAAGGTCAGGTGCGGATTTCTGATTCGAAGCAAATGAAGTTGTCGAAGCTAATCGTTCTGCAGTCTGCACTAGTCGCGTAGAGTAGAGGTGGTAGCTTGGGAAGTAAGTGAAGATGAATTGGCATAGTTTTGTGGAGGAAGTTTCAGATTTTGTGAGCTTGAGGTTCACTGAGTCTCAGGTACTGGCAGGTGGAAGGATATGGCATGTATCGATGTGACGGGGTAGAGGTTTGCAGGTTGTGAGGGGAAGTACGGAAGGATTCAGTGGTAGAAGGAATGGAAGAAACGGTTTGTGAAGACTTTCGCTGCACTCACCACTAGAATTTGAAAGTTTGAATCGGAAATCGATGGGAGAGTAAGCTTCATGCTTTTACTATTCATTTTACACTCTCGATTAGACCAGTGCTACAGCTTGGTCGAGAATCACAACATGGCCTTAAGTTTAAGCTTAAGACCTGTACTTAAGGTAGCGAATGCTATTTCTTCTGTTACTTTGGGACATTCCGTTGCTTGGGCCTTCAAGTCAAGTAGTTTGTCAATCTGTCATCACGGAAATGCAGAAAACAAGTGCGTTCCAAGTAGTTTAAGAACAGTTGTCTGCAAATGTTGGCAACGTGTGTATTGGGTTGTTTATGGGGCAGGAATCATTCATCTCTATCAGAACCATAAATAGTTGGGGTGGCAGCCTACAGAGAGGTCAAGACAAGAAGGAAATTTGACCGCTTTCTAAAATGTTTCATCAGCGATCACT